GGACTGGCTCACTCGCTATCGAGCTGACATCCGGTGCCAGAAGCGCGAAGTCGGTCTCTTCTCTGTTCCCGATCAGCCTGTTATTTTCTATAAGGTGAAGTCGAGGACCGTGCCTCGAGTCATCTCTTCTATGCAAGGTAGAAAGAGCCTTTCTAAGGGTAGCTGTCAAGGCTATCTGGTTTCTATGGTTTTCGAGGTCGATTCTGAGAGGTCCCCGGAGAGAGTCTTTATTGTCTGCGAGTATCTCGATGTCTTTCCTGATGAATTGCCCGGAGGACCACCCGACTGCCAAGTGGAGTTTACCATTGATCTAGTAACAGGAGTCGGCCCTGTTTCTATGGCCCCTTATCGTATGGCGCTGAAGGAGCTTCAAGAGCTGAAGTCCCAAATCCAGGAGTTGCTCAATATTGGTTTCATTTGTCCGAGTGTTTCTGTAATATCCCGACTTTTATCAGTATAATAATATTTTAGTTCCGGTAGTATTTTTCGGAATTAATTATTTTCAGTTATTTCAGTCAAAATTACCGGAACTATTTTCGACGTACCGTTCACGTTCGAAATAATTTTGGTAGCTAGGCATTATGTTTAATTGAATAATTAAACATAATTAAGTGATTAACTTAACTTAATCACTAGATTAGTAATTGTTCGGATTTTATTCTGAGTTCATGTGCTTCGCCGTGAGTTTATGTTAATGCTCGGTCCATAGTTCATGCGAGTGCCGCGTGTGTGTGTGTTCGTCCGAGAGTATCCGCGCGCGCGCTAAGGTGCGGAGTATCCGAGGGCTCGTGTAGGAGTCCGTGCATAGCCCTTGTCATGTTGCTAGCAAGTGTCCAAGAGAATCCGTGCCCCACTTTCCCTCATTGTCCGTGCATTTCTCTTGGCATGTAGTGGGCGGAGAATCCTAAGGGCATATAGAAGGCCGTGCGCGCGTGTACCCGTGCATTGTGTCCAAGACCGTGTGAGTCCGTGCTTTGCCCCCTTTTGTCCGCATATCCGTGCACTCCCTTTTGTCCGTGCATGAGACCGAGTCCCCCCTCAATTTGTCCGCCATGTTCGGCTTTTTAAGTAAGATGTTGGGGAAAATATGTCCATTTTACTCCTTTTCACCCGCAAAGTATCGAGAGTGCCGAGAGTTAGTGAGAATTTTGTGTGAGTTGTTCGGGAGCAAGTACCGAGTGTTGTAC